TTTTTTTTTTCGTAATTTAAGATATACTTGGGTATGTAATTATGAATGCAGTGATATTTTTCTCAAAAGTATGAAATGACTTTAAAATCCTTTCTTCTATCTAATTTAAGATAAGGGTTATGAAACAACTTTATTGCATCTCGATTTTGCTATGAAGCCAACAGTTGACTCCATAGTGGAGCCAACCTTCTATATACAATAAATAAACTTACCATATTTTCTGATTACTTAAATAACACTAATATAATTTTATTCATATGATAGGTTTATTTGTTGTATATAGAAGGTTGACTCTACTATAGAGCCAACCGTTGGCTTCATAGCAAAATCGTGCATCTAGTTAGTATGTGACTATTTAAAAAGCATACTTTTATTATTCAAAAGTTACTATAAAACAGGATAATATTAAATTCAGTATATATACACTTCTCTTTGTTTTAAAGAAAATTGATGTCACTGTAGAACATATGAAATCGAACATATCTAAAATGTCAAAAGGCTAATCATCTATTTTGGGTTCAATTAAATTTAATGGAAATATCTAAAATGATATTTCCATTCCCATTGATTCAAAATCTGATATATTTGGAATGATCAAGATTTGTCAAGTGTCAATTTATTCCATTTAATTACGTAGCATGATAATTACTTTATCTACAATATTCAATATATCATTGATCAAACTTGATATAGCCATAATTGAGCTAATCGATATAGCACTAATTACAAGTGAGTGGACCTAACTCTTACGACGACGACCCGAAGGCCGTCCACAGGAATACGTTAAAGAAAATTATAAATGCAAATTGAGAACAAGGTTGAACGATGTTCTTTCATTTAGGTTAAAGTCTGAATACAATCAATGCAATTGAAAGTTACGGCTGAAAACTCTCATACTCTATAAACCCTAGTTAGATACCTTTTTATTATTCAAGACAAAAGATCAATTTAAAATCCACCTACACTAATAAACATTAAGGTAAAAGCAATGGAGGATCAATCCCATTAAAGCACGTCCTCAATGAATCATGCATGAGACAAAAGGAGCTGACGTCATGCATGCAGTAGCTGATGATGTGGGAGCTGAGTTGTATGTATGATCTGAACTGGACGTTGAATGCTAATTCTTTTCATACGTGAACAAAATGGAGATCCTATAATAAGCACAAACACTTGAACGACCTACAAAAAATCGGATGACCTACAAGTCTTCCGAACGACATACAAACAATCGGACGACCTGCAAGTCTTACGGACAACATGAAATGAGGAGCCGAGTCGACTTGACGACCTGTGGAAACTGGAAAGGGTCACGATGACCTGATGACTATAACACACAAATTTACAAGAGAAATGAAATGAATCTTATGGAGATAAAAAAGAATCTAATGATGACTATGACATGATTAGAATGAGGATATATACTAAGCAGATAAGATCAAACCCAGGTAGGTTGATTGCGGGGAGTGCGGCAGTTCGGGCAGGCTATTTCAGGTAAGTATTCCCCTATAAAAAAGGATGAGGTATCATTGTAAACACCCTACATGAGTACATTCTACACATCACATACAACTCTTTGCTTTTAGAGCATTTATCATCTTCTTACCTTATACTAACTTAGGTGTCGGAGTACTAACGCCGAGAGACCCTTTTGACCCCTTTTTTGCAGGTCATCTGTAGCAGTTCAGGTAGATCGAAGCTCAGATCTGCTGGTTCAACCTTAACTCGAGTCACCGACACATCAAAACACTTAGAACTATAAACACATTTTATTAATTATACAAAGTATATGCTCAATTTTCACAGACACTAACAAAAGTTAATTTCATCCCTCAAACCAAAAATATGTCTTCTCTTTCAAGCATCTCAATTTTCATGTCCACCATTCTCATCTCATTTATTTTCCCCATGAATACCATCCTTACAAGTTCTTCTCACAACCCTTCATCTACTTTCGCAAGAATGATAGAGTCGGTTTATGGCGAGTCTTGTATGAAATCCAAACCACATTATTGTCTCAACTACAACCTCTCAATCGCGATCATGCTATCGGGAATTTCAAATTTGAGTGTGTCACTAGCTTCATTAAGAAGTCGCTAAACAAGAAGAGTCTGAATTATACTCAGGAGCTCACCCTAAAAATTGGATTTCCTCATATCCCGCGACCATGGTGTCATTCAATAGTGTCCTATGCGAGGTGATGTACGAAAACAATTACCAAACTAGAACATACGATCTTGATAGCTGTCACGGACTACATGAGTGCTTAAATAAGGTGACCTCGAATGATATATGGGTTGACTACGTATCGAGCCATATCTATCCTCGATCTCAATTCGACATCTCCTCAACCATGATATGATTGCCCACAACTCGTAAAATCCACACACACGAGTAAATCATGTATTCATCAAAATGAGTTAGGTTGAGATGGTCTAGTTGATGAATTAATATGCAATGTTTAACTTATTGCCTTGCTCAATACTACCAAAGTAAACAAAGTTATGGAAACTGCTTGGACCAAAAACAGTTTAGAAATTTGACTTGGACATTTTGTTTTGTGTTTTAATAGACAGTCACTTCATTTAAATAACATAATTTTGATGATAAGTTGATCAACGACCGAATTGTTGTGTTAAAAAAATTCTAATTTTATTCAAAAAAATATTTGTTTACATAATTGGAGTTCAATTTTTACGGTTGTTCATACTCCGCTGCGATTCCATTTACATGATTTCCTTAAATGAAGGGGTTGTTTGGTTGAAGGAAAATGAAGGGGAGGGAAGGGGATGAATTTTTTTAGTTTTCCTTTGTTTGGTTTATAAGTTAGGAGAGGAGGGAGGAAAAATTTTAAGTAAGAATCCATCCCCTCCACCAATTTTGCTCCCCTCCAAAAGTGGGAGGATTTGGAGGGGAGAGAAAATATTAACACATAAATTACTATATTGTCCTTATTATGTTCAATATTTTATTATTTTGTTTCTTACATCATTAAGGATATAATTGTCATTTTCACAATATTTTATTTCCCCTTCATTTTCTAACCAAACAAAGTTTGTCATTTTCCCTCCACTTCCCTCATACAAAATCCCTCCAAACAAGGTAAAGTTATTTTACATTCCCTTCCTTCCCCTTCACTTCCTTCCATTAAAATCCCTCCTCTCCCTTCCACTCCGTTGAACCAAACATAGCGATAAGTTATGGATAAATTTTTTAGTTGACCCGCGGTCAAGGATTTTAGTCGTTTGACTCTGGTTTAGTTCAAACTAGTGGTCATGTCAGCATATTCAAATGATGAGTAATGCTCACCTACACTGAGCACATGTTAATATGTTCACCGCTTATGTGGCATGCACACATTGGTAATTATTTTTTTGAACATATTAACATCACCAATATGTGCATGCCACATAAGCAGTAACATATTAACATGTGCTCACCGTGGGTAGGAGAACATTATTATTCAAATGATATAAGCTTATTAATATTATTATTATTATTATTATTATTATTATTATTATTATCTATAGTAATATAA